GCTAAGCACACCAGTAAGGTTCAGTGTATAACTTGCCCAACAGATGAGCATGAATTCTTGTCTTTGACTTTGATTTCTCCCTTTCCCAAAGTTCAAACAGTCATCCAGTAACCAAATCATTTTTTCCTTGTGTAATTTAAAAATTAGATCATACGCAGTAGAAAATTGGATGAAGATGAATAAACTAGCATTCAATCTCAGAAATGATGAGGGGCCTCCGTAGAATGGGATCATCCATTTCGGAACAACTAGAGGTCTCCTGAGTCCCTATTTCACCCAACTGGCCAGATTCTTTATTTCCATCTTCAGGTACTTGTCAGCTTTAGTCACCTCAAAATGGCCTGTCTACAGTAATCCAGGCTCTAGTAACCTTCTAGCACAGTGTTTGTCAACCCTGGCAACTTTAAGATATGTCAACTTCAACTCCCATCATGGCTGGCTGGGGAATTCTGGGAGTTGAAATTCACATATCTTAAAGTTGCCAAGGCTGACAAACACTGTTCTAGCACTTTGTCTATATTGGGCAGTCCCAAATGTGGATCTCGGAATCACACTTTCTGCAAAATGCAGACATGGAAACGTTGACTGATTATAATTTAGTAATATTTATGAAAAAGATAGGTTGGAAAGGCAATTCAATTTTTAGTATTTGTTTCTTTCTATTATAGACTATTTTCCACCATTATTGAGCTTTGCAGCATTGCTACCAAATATGGAAAAATGATCCAACCTGATCATTACATTTCCAACAATTTTTAGAAAGTGAACTGTCCCTTTTAGCAATCAATATGGTATTATGTACCAGCAGTAAAAGTTCCACCTCTTATGTGAGGCATCACAGTGCACATTTTGTCATTTGCTTCCCCTCCTTGCTCCCCTGCAGAAGCCAAGGCAGGGAGCCCCACATCTGGCATCCTTGCCCTAAACTTGGTGTGTAAGAGAGATACAGCCTTCACCATCTGTATTATCTACCCATGCCAATGAAAAAGTAAAAATGAGAAAAAAATGAAATAATTCCTATAATTTCAATTTCCTTGCCTTGTAGCCTGAAGTTGTGTGACTAGAAGTTTCAGAGCTTCCTTTTGTCAGACAGACCAATCTGACAAAACACAATCAAAACATTGTTTTTAAAAAGGGTAAACTATAGTAATTTATAGTAAACTATAAAAATATTTTTAAATGTTTTAAATGTAAATACATCAGATGTAAACCTTACATGTCAAATGAGATAGACATTGCTTGGTTAAAAGAAAAAAGAATTTTTAGCTGCCAGTGTAATGTTCTGAATAGACCATAAGATGGCACTGATCTACTATAAGATATTAAAGAGAAAACGGAGATCATCTGAAATGTATCTGAGGTAGATTCAAGGCTGTCATAAAACAGAGTTACTGAGCTTGTATTGAAATATATAAAAATGCTGGCCTTAAGGGAACACAGTCTTATCTGGACCAAATTAGCCACTTGGGTTAACTGAGCCATTTATCAGAGCTTTGGGTGAGGTGGTACACTCCCTCTTCTTTTCTTAGCTCAGACACAGCAAAGTCATACATTCTCCTGGGTGTATGTACTAACAACTGCAGTCTGAGAGAAGTTATGCATTCAGACTCAGAACACTGTCATTCAGACTGGCAGGGAGATTATAGTATTATGAATGCAAGCTGGCTATTCACGAAAGGGGTCATAGATGGGGTTGACTCATCCAGTACACACTCCCCAATAAAATCTGCTAATGCTCCCCCGCTACCAAGAAGCAAAGGACAATGTTTCACTGTTAAAGCCCTTATGCAATGGAACAACCATTTCCCAAGTCAGATCAGCCCACACAATGGCCTTCTGCAAACCAGGAAAAGCAAAGTTTTTCTATAGAGAATCTGGGGGATGAAAAGTGTGCACCATCCATATTACTAAGCTGTTACCTTGTTGTCATAAGTGTGTGCTCACAATCAGGGCCGGTTCTAGGCCTAGGCAACCTAGACAGTTGCCTAGGGCACCAAATTTTATGGGGTGCCAAAATTGAAAAGACCTCTGAAATACACAATATGCATATAAAATTTGATCATCTTTCCTCATTGCTTTAGAATTCTTTCTTTCTACACTTTTCAAAAACACCCACAAAGTCAGTTGAGTGGTAATGAACAGCACACTAACCAGACGTTGCAAGTCACAAAAAACAAATTATTACATTATTACAGCTATGGACCTCAGGAAGCTGATAATATTACTGAAGCAAGACAAAGGTCTGATAGAAAGGTACTGAGTGAGCAAGTCACGTGACTATCAGCATATCAAAGTTACACCCCAAAAAGTGGTAATGGTGCACTCTGTATGCCAGTGTGCCCACTGGAGGGTTAAATATAATTTCTCAGAATGGTTGCCACATGTCAAAAATGGGTACTGATGAAATGAAAACTATATACTGTGATTCACGTAAATAGGGTGAAAATGTCAGAAAAGAAAAAAAATATGACAGGGGCTGAAAATCGTAAACGTAAAGCTCAAAAAGTTGAAGAAAAAAGAAACAAGAGGATGCCTTTTTGAAATTCCTAAGAAAATCAGAAAATGAGCCAAACTATAGAGGGTACCGGAATATGACTCCCTAGGGCACCAAAATGTCTAGAGTCAGCCCTGGCTAAATTGCTAGGAGTTTATATAGCTTTTGGTGATACATAAATTACATACCATAAATAACTAAAGAGCTCAATGGTCCTCTGTTAAGCCCCACGGTGACTTACAACCAAGAAAGCAAGACCCCTAATTCATTGAGAGCCAGGTTCTTTGAAAGGAAAAAGGTTATCAAATCTTGGAAACTCAATGTGTTGCTTTGCCCTCATTTATCAATGAGTTCATTAAGACAATACTTCCTTATTGCTTTGATCTTCTATATGACTGATTGAACAAACCAACCCAAAGTTCTCAGTTGAGGCACAAATAACCAGGCTCAAATTATCCGATTCAGACACATTATGGGAATGTGGAATTCTCTGGAAAAGGCTCTAATGCTGGGAAAGATGGAAGAGAAGACGACGACCAGCAGCAAAGTGGATGGACTCAGTTATAGTGGCAATGGGTACACCATTGGAAGACCTGAAGGACCAGGTTAGGGACAGATTGTGATGGAGAAAATCTATCTAGGTGGTTGCTAAGAATTGACAACTTGATGGCATATAATCAATCAATCTTGGTTTAGTGAGGAAGATGCTAATTACTTTTTTGTTACTACAAAAATGTTGATTTCTACTTTTCTGCAATATTTTGAAAATGCCCATTTTTGTTTCCAGCCTCAGAAAATTCCAACATACCCTTTATGCAGAAAATTCTAAATTCAGTCCCCAGCATCTTCAGGGGGTGCCTGAAATGCTGGATAGCCAGTATCTAGGGCTAGATGGGCCCATGACTTGCCTCCAAAAGCTGCTACAATCCCCATGACTAAAACAGCTGCTAAATTAACAACAGCCTATTTTGCCTTTCACCTGCTTAGCAACCTTGTCATTTGCATGTACCGTTGTCATCTGCATGCTAGAATCACCGAAACTTGTGTTACAACTGCCTAGCCTGTGGGAAATGATCCATAAATAAATGCAGCAGCAGTCAAAGGATCTTTATGGAGAACTGGCCTTGGATAGCATTTCCTTTCTGAAGTGTGTGTGTGTGCTTTTGAGCCAGTTTTTTTACTCCTGCTGAGTCCCTGAACTACCCTCTGCAGTTTTCTTGGCAAGGGTTTTCAGAAATGGTTTGCCATTGCCTCCTTCCTACAGCTGAGGGAGAGTGACCGGCCCAAAGTCATTCAGCTGGCTTTGTGCCTAAGGGCAGGACTAGGTCTCCCGGTTTCTAGCTTGATGCCTAAAACCACTGCACCATACTGGCTCTCGTAAAATACTTAGTGGGACACCAAATTCAAAGAAATGCCAAGCACCAGACTTTCAAAATTCCAGATGATAACTAGAGGACGTCGGAGAGTGTTCGTTTTCCGTATCCCCCTGCTTCGTCCGGCGGCCTTCCAGATATCTGCAGGCCAGATATGGTAGTCCTACACACAGCCTTTCCACAGAACTTTGAAATTAGCGTCTAAACCAGTGTTTCTCAACCTTAGCAACTTTAAGATGTGTGGACTTCAACTCCCAGAAT